TGGGAGTTCCATCTCCAGGATGTCGTGGTCAATCTGTCTGCAAATGAATCCAGCTAACCTGGGCCAGAGTTGTGGTGTGAAAAATAAAAGACAGGGAGGCAAGACTGGATCAGGGACAGCTTTAGGTATTTTAAGTGTCCAGCCTTGTAATACCTTAAGGGAAATGACCTGTTGCAATGTGTAAGACTTAACCTAAGTGAGGAAGGTGGTGCTTGCTTGTTGTGTTAAGAAGCACCTGCAATACTTGAAATCAGCTGAGGCTGCTTTGGAGGTTGCTTCAGTGGATCAACTGGACTTTCACCCAAAGATCCCCCCTCTTTCACATCAGATGCAAGATGTGAAGGAAGATGAGGAGCCTTAGGATATGTTGCAGAACCTTAGTTCATAGTGCTGGCTGTTGCATCTCTTCATCTGTCAAACTGGAAGTTTCTCCTTGAGCAGGCAGGAGGAAAAGCGAATCTGAGCCATCATGCCAACCTTACAGGGCATTTGAGGTGTTTGTGGGGGCAATGGAAATAGCAACTTGTCAAAGCCAAATCTGGTGCTGGTTTGACCTCATCCTAGCCTGGTAGAAGTTGGTAGTAGCGTGTCCTGTAGGGTCTACCTTTGTTTTATGTCCCCTGGAGTTAGAGCCTGAGGGGCGCTGGTGGGGAGCGATTGGTCCGAGTACACAGAAACCACCTGCAGCTTTTTTGTAACCAATTATTTCCTGTCCTTAAGCAATAGGATGTGGAAAGGAGGGGACAGCAGCCTCAGGCTATGTAGGTACAGTATAATGTGAATGCTCTTTACCTGGAATATTGGGACTGACTGCCAGAGCTCAGTGCTCTTGGGAACATGTGTGCTGTCGTTAAGGGTTTGCATGATCTTTGCACTTTTTGTAAATCTACTGAGCAAGTGATTTCCACAGCTGTTCTGCTCTGGTTTGTTTTGTGGTTCTTTTCTTTCATCGCACTCACAAATGAGCTTCTTATTTGTGCAGTACAGTAACTTGGCAGCTGAGGTGTTTCAGCTGCCAGAGCTCATCAGGGAGAAACCTGCAGAGCGAGCATGAGGGTGGTGCTGCAGAGGAGGGCTGAGCCCTTCCCAGCAGAGCTGTGTGGCCCAGGCATGTACAGAGCTAGCCTGGGCCAAATAGCATAAACTTCACTGAGCACCAAGCATGCAGTGCTTGCTGGGTGAGGCAGTACAGGATCTAATTGGATAGAGCAGAACTGCAATTAAAAATTAACTTAACTTAGCCTCTGTGCCCCTTGACTGATGTGGTTATAATGTCTGTACATGAATTTTCCCCTTCCTGCTTCTGTTGCCAATGGTGGAGTCAGGAGGCAGAGGTATTCAACTATCCCCGTATCACCTGTCCTTCTCTGGGGTCACCTTTTACAGGACTGGAACAGGGAGTTTCACAGGCTCCTGTGACAAAAAGAAGTTAATCTCTGAGCTGTGACAAAGCAGGCCTCTGTCTGCATCTCATCAGGCACACATGTCCTGGATTTTACGTTCCTGCTCCGCATACAGGTCTTGCTGTCATTGCTGTTGCTGGGAGAATGATGGGCCAGGAGGTCATGGAGGGGACAGGAAGTCATCCCCTGATGTCAGCCTAGGCTGTGAAGACTTTCCATTCCTTCCTGGTAGGAAATCTCTGGATCAATTGATGCCTTCCTGGTATTAGTTCTCCCTTCAGGTTTGAACCTTGGGCTAAGAAACACCTGCATCAACTTCACAGCAGCTGACCAAGCTGTGTCGGCAGCCAAGTTTTTATGGCAGTAGTGCCTCAAAGCAACACACTGCATAAATAATCCTGCATATCTTTACAAGAAGGAGAATGAGAGGCTGGAAGAAATGCCATTCTGCAAGCTGATGGTGTCTTATGAAATCCTCTACAGAGCTGGCATCAATCTGGAGAATGACAGGGAAAAATTGGATGTGTACATTCAGGATTATTGAAAAGAGTGGGTGTTGCTGCTTGGGGATGAAAATTCAAATGTCAAAGCAGTAGGAGTGGGGAGGGAGAGGAAAAAACAAATAATTGTGGACAGTCAGTGGAATTTGAAAGTTGCAGACTTCATGTGTTTAACCTTGCATGCATTGCTGCAAGACATTAAGGCTCAAAACTTGACCGACTTCAGAAGGCAAACTTCAGCTTTTGCTGCAGCACTAGCTATGGTACTTAAGTTTTCTTTTTGCTGCTGAGTGGCATTTGGATATGCCTGGTTGTGCTAACTCCAAGCTCATCTGCTTCCAAACCTGACCTATCTGAAATTTTCTTGAGCTTCTGCTTCTACTGTGTGATAGTGTTGCTAGTCTTATGACTGTGCAATTTCAGAAGATGGAGTTTTGAGGAGTTTCGTTGATGTAGTGGACACAAGTAAGTTAATTTGCAAAGAATGGAAAACTGAGAATTCTGTAATGTTTCAGCAGAGCTCTAAAGTATCAGAAAAGCTCAAAGCAAAACCTTAAGACCCTTTTTCTCATCTGACATGAAAACTGTACTTTGAATTACTTTACAGCTAGGAGCTATGAAAGAGATTGTCCTGTGGCAAGAAGAGAATGGTGCATAATACTGTAATGCACAGTTGGGGTTTGATGTTTGTTTTGGGGTTGTATTTGGAATAAATATTGAAGATGGTATGCCTTTAAAAAATGGATAGAAAAGCCCTGAAAGCAGTATTTTATTCTTGTTACCTCAGGCATATCTTCTTCCTCAGTAAACTTGCTTTGCTGCGTAATTATCTGAAATAACTTTTATAAAGGTCTTAACAGCTTTGCAAATCTGTTTCCTGATAAATCAAAACAATGTGAGCAGAGTTTAAATAGGCAGCATGTGGGTTTTAGTGCTAGAAAGCAAGTCAGTGAGTACTGCGTCTTGCCCCTCCAGTTTGGAAATTAGGAGGATTGCACCTGGTATCAGATGTCTTAAGGTAACAAGTCCAGTGCATTGTGCAGTAAATTGTTACCTTTGCTTAGTTCTTGTCTAGGTTACAGAAGAGAAAAACATCTCTAACTCCCACAAGAGAAATTCATCATCACCTAGGGATCTGGCTGCCTTTGCATTCTGGTTAGATTGCCAGGCTCCAATTTGTGATCCTATTAAGAGGAGATGTGTTCACGGTGAAGCCAGGAAGCAGGCCAGCTGGATGGGAAAATTCACATCTTAGTTATCCTCTCCAAGGGCAGCCTTAGGTGTTGGTACTTTCCAGGACTAGTGGCCTGAGAGAACGTTTCTCCTGCAGAGGGAAGGAAGAATTCTGCTAAGAGAGACCCTTGATTCACTTTTCCTAGGTTGGTAATGATGCAGCTGTTGTGCAGTGCATCTGTGCTGGAACAGAACCAACTCATGGTGATGACTGCACTGAGGAGCCTTAAAAATGGGAATACTGTGTGTTTGATATTTGGTATACATATGGACCAGAAACTATTACAGGACTTTTCTATGGCTTGTTTGAAGGACCTGCTTTTGAGTGCAGCTGTCTTTATGCCTCTGACATGAGGAGTTAACTGAAGAAAAACTGAGATGTTGCTAACCTGGCTGTGCAAAGAGCTCCTTAGGTGCAATGACTGCTGTCAGGCGAGGTTTGAGACCAGCCTGTAGCACAGCTGGCTGACATTTCATATCTCTGCTGTTTCTCATCTCAGTAACTCATCTCAATAATAGCTTGCTAGGTGCTTTGCAGTGATGAGCTTAGCACAGTCTCCAGCCATGGCATTCCTTGAAGTTAGAGCAGCAGCTTGAGCCTCAGAGTGCAGTCTTGTGGTCTCTCCTGATAGTTTGAGGGTGACCATTGCTTGTTGGGAAGGCTAGCCAGTTATAACAAGGCCCACATACCAGTTTAGCTCCAGAGTTAACCTAAATATTTAATAGGATTAAGCGAAAGCCTTTGATTGAAACAAAAGAACGGACTGAGCTCTGGTGATCCTTGGTACACCGAGGCTGACAGCACTGAACCTTGCTGACCTTGCTCTCTCTTAGGGCTGTTTCTTCCCAGGCCAGGCTGGTGACCTCAGCCTGTTATTGCTCTTCCTCTGGCTGGTGATTCTTAAAGTGGCATGGTGTGTTTGTAGCAAGGAGCTTGATAGAGCAAATTTTAAGGAACTTAAAAGTTCTCTGTTTATGTAGGAAGCAACTGAATCTGGGCTGGGAAGGAGAAGCAGACAGAACTACTGAATGGTTGGAAGGGACCACTATAGTCATCCGGTCCAACCTCCCTGTTCAAGTAGGGTCATCCAAGAGCATGACACGGGATTGCATCCAGATGGTTCTTGAATATCTCCAGTGATGGAGACTCCATACCCTCTCTGGGCAATCTGTTCTGGTGTGTGGTCACATGCACAGCAAAATTGTTCTTCGTCATGTTCAGGTGGAACTTCTTATGCATCAGTTTCTGCCTGTTGCCTCTTGTCCTGTTGCTTGGCACCACAGAGCAGAGCCAGGGTCATCCTCTAACACCCTCTCTTCAGATACTGACAGACATTGATGAGGTCCTCTCCCAGTCATCTCTTCTCTAGGCTGAACAGATTTTACTCTCACAGCCTGTCATTATATGAGAGGTGCTCCATCCCCTTAATAATCTGTGTTGCTCCAGAAGCTGCATGCTTTTTCTGCTACATTATTTTACTGCTGTCAGGGGAATGAAGTAGCTTGCATCACTTTTCACCAGCAGGAGTAGTAACTAGGGTTGGTGTTTTGCTTGATGTTACTATTGCAAAGTCCATATAAATAGTGATGGAATTAGCGGTGTATTTGTGATTAAATCTCTTCTGTAACTGCTGATAGCTCTGTGTCACTCTCCAGAAGATCTTGGCAGCAGTGCCTGTAGTGTGTTGCTGCTGTCCTGTTTTACTGTCCTGAAAAGGCAGCTCTGGTATTCTGTGCTGTCTGTGCATGTGCTCTGAGGTCCACCAGATGACCCAGAGCTCTGCACAGGGTAAGGGTGTTGCTCTGAAGCTACCCAGAGGACCTGTGTGTAACATAACTCCTTGTTTCTCTGCTTTCCCCTTAGGTCCTATAAGTGAAAGAAGATGGGGTCTGGCTGCATAAAAGTCACCAAGTACTTCCTCTTCCTTTTTAATCTTCTGTTCCTTGTAAGTATTTTGAGCATCCGTGGAGTAAGAAGGAAGGCTTGGACCAAAGTTAGCTAGAAGATATTTTTTTTTCAGGATGTTGGCCTAATGTGTTCATTAAATAAAATGGGCACACTTCTGGAAGGAGGGAGAGGACCCCTGAATTTGGGGAATGTCAGAGCTGCTGTGTTTGTCTCAGATATGCCAAGCAGCTCCACTCCCAGTAGCCACCTGCCACCTCCAGTGCACACAGCTCCATTCCTGCACTGGGAAGGGAAAGGAGTTATGGGTTCTTTCTGGAAGGAGAGTAGTTGTAACTACTTTCTCTGACACATCTGGAGCAGCAGCTGAACTGTCCCTGAGCAGCAGAGCTACAAAACCTGCCAAGTAATGGCAGTGCCCTCCTAAATAGGCCAGCCAAGCTTCAAAGAGCAAGTCTAATTTTGTTTGAGTCCCAACGGCTGGTTTTGATTTGTGACAAGATGAATTAGTCCAAGTCTCCTGTTTGAAATGGAGTTGGGGAGGTGGGGGTGACTGGGACAGGCTTGTCTGGGGAAAGAAAACAGCCCACTGGGTGCAGTTATTTTCAAGTGAGAGCCTTAGCAAAAGACTAACTCCTTTTGGAACAGATTGGGTCTGGGAGGGCCACACACTTCTTGCATGCATCTTTCTGATGCCTAGATGTTGTGTGTCCTGTGGGCAGTGATGGTACTGTTGGTGATGCCTTCTTGCAGTGCAATGGTGTGGTGGGGAAGTGCAAGGTTTCATCTTTCCACATGTCAGCAGGAAAATGGCCTGTCTCATATCGGTATCCTTTGTGCAGTGTGCAAGGAAAAGGAGGGGTCAGGCTGGGAGAGAAGGGTGGGAAGTGAATTATAATAAGGTGAGCACTGCTTTCTGGTCTCTGTCCCTGCACACAGCTTCACTCCTGCTTCCTGCATGGCTGCACTGTGCTGGAAGCACATAGGATGAACTTGAGGCACATCTGGATCGGGTTTCCCTTGGCTTACTGTGCTCACTTTTTGCTCTCTGAAGAAGTGATAAATTTTAAGCGGCATATAACTACCAGTCTACCCTGGGAAGCAGAGCTGTATTTGTTAAGACAGTGTTTGAGTCTTGCTGAAGTCCAGTATCTGGCCACTATCTAGTTTTCCTTAATCCTCAAACCTCAGTCTGACTTCATTAGCTAATCTTTGTGTGGAGAAAGTTCTCTTCAAGAAAGCCAGCCTAGCATATAGGAAAGGAGGAAGATGACAGCCTGAAATATTGCTGTACCTTATAATGCTGTCACTGTTTTTGCTGTATGCTGTCTATGGTCATTGTGGCATCTTTATTCCATGCTGCCTTTCTCTTCCTCCCCTGCTGAGACAGTCATGGTTGCAGGCAGCCTGTGGGTAGAGATATGCTCTTGGGAGGCAGAGTTGAACTGCTTTGTTGGGCTGACCCACATCCACGCTGCACTTTCCTGTATTTTGCAATAGTGTGAGGATGGCAGGTGCTGAATCCCTCTCTGGGTCCTGGAGAACTCCAGTTTGAGTATTCCTGTCTGGGTGGCAAGTGATTGGAAGTAGTTGTTCTTTGTCTTGTGCACACCTTGCTCTGAGTCAACTCCTCTGGTGTAGCATCCAGCCCCCTCCCTCTTGTGGAAAGCTGAGGTCTGATTCACTGAGGTGGACTTGGAGAGTAAGAACTTTAGGGTTGGATGTATTGTGAGAAGGTCTGTGCTGACTAAAGGGAGTTGCTTTAAATGAGCTTTCTAACCCTGCTGTGCAGCATAGACATTGTCTTCCCCTTGGACTGCTCTGTCAAAATGAGGTATCCAAAGCCACTGGTGTTCTGGCTGAGCTTGATACTGCTCTGGAGCAAAGATTTTCAGTATGCTTCTGTCTTGTCTTTTTGCACATGCCAGATGTTGAGGAAGGTGGCATACATTACTCTCTCCATCTCATAGGAAGTAGGTGACCAGAGATATTTTCCTGTTATTGTTGTTCAAGGTCTGAATTGGGGAGAGTGAGTTGTTGTTCAAGGTCTGAGTTGGTGATTCTTGAGCTTATACAGTGTGGTAGAGCTATATTAATCTAGCAGAGAAACTGCTTGTATTGAGTTGCTGTGAGCTGTCAGCACAGACAGGTTTGAATGCCATGTGCTGGTTTCCTGAAGCTGCTGTGAGGAGAGTGCTTGAGCAAAGGTGAGCACCAATGCTGCTGACAGAGCCCTATGTCTGCTCTGGACCTTGAGCTGAGCCTGTGTGATTGCACCCATGCAGGCCAGCCCTTGCTGGCTAAAGTGTGTTCTTCAGCCTTGCTGATGGCTGAAGCCTTTGGAGGCATGCTGGTGACTCTTTTTAGAAGTTAGTCATTGAAATAGCATTTCTCTACAGCTCGAGATCTGTGAGAAGGTCGCTTGCTACAGCTGAAGTAGTTCAGGGACTTAGTGGTATTTTGCAGTCTTGGAGTTTTACTTCAGGGAGGGCTTTGACCTGCTTTGGTTGAAGGGAAGAAGGTTACTTGGACTGCTTGCTAGAAAAGATACCAGATAAGCTTGGAGTATAATCTTAGTTTCCTAATCAGAATTTAACACGTCTGCCTTCTTGGCTAGCAGGCACGTGCTGCAGCACATGCTTCTCCTTAAAGGGAAGACAGCTCTGCAAGACAAGTTTAACAGTCTCTGGAAACTATTTGTTTGGAATATATAACTGTCTGTCCTGCTTCTAATCCTTCAGTAAATGCAGCAGAAGGCTGCTACCTAAAGCAAAGCCTGGAGTTTTAGGGCCTTTCTGTTGACCCCTGTTCCAGGTTCAGTGTTACATCACCCAATCTGAGCATGAAGGAAAGCAGTGCTGGGGAAAGAAAGCTGGGAACCCCCAGCTGCTCTTTCCAGCAAGATGAGTCAGCTTCATCACAGCTTAGTTTTTCCAAACCCCTCTTGACTACCTCTCTGTGGGAAACTGCTGACCCTGTAATGAGGGATCTGCGTTCTTCTGGCTTAGGTGTAGAAGGACATTTTGCTGAAACTGGGGGTGAAACCTCCACCCCCCAGGGAGGAGGGGAGACATCTGTTCCCCACTTCAGGAGTTTACAGCAGTGGAACAGAGGAATTTAACTCCACGGAAAGCAGATGTGATTCCTTCTGTGGAAGGTCTGAAGCCAAGCCAGTTGCAGAAACAGCCTTGCTATGCAATGCAAACTCCTGAAGATGCTAAGCAGAGATATTATCCTGCTAGAAAGTAAATACACTCTTGTTAATGGGGCGGTGTTTTCTCCCTGCCTGTAGTTATTGTCTCCCTGCCATCCCCTTGTAGTGTTTTCCATAGCAGCTCCTGGCAAATGCACAAGTTGTGGACTGGAGCAAAGATCAGAGTGAAAACAGGCCTTGGATGATCTGAGCACCTCATAACAAATTACTTCCCAGGAACTCTGCTCAGCAGCCCTTCTGTGTTTTGTCAGCAACAGCAAAATTTAGGTGACATATCAGGGTCAGTGAACCAAAAGGGATGTCACATACAGCCCAGTTAGCATCTGCTAAAACAAATGTTTTTTAAAACAATAGTTGAAATATGAGACTGCCTTAAACTGTCAGTTCAACAGTTCTTGATACTACCAAGTTTGAGAGGAATTTTTTAGGTGTCGCAGCTGTTGCATGTTCAAGGGGCCTTTCTAGCTTGATCAGCAGCCTGAGGATTGTGGGCAGCATGTTGGGACATAAGGCAAAGGGGAATTCTTTTTTTCTGGGATACAGCAGCTACATGCTTTCTGTAGCTGAGTCAGTATGCTTTGTAGGGGGGAACTTGCTTGATGACTTTCTAATGCTATCCCCAGAGCTAACTACATGATGCACCTTCTGCCAAGACAGGAAAGCTTGCAAGCAGCTTATTTCAGACTGTGGCTTTATCTTTGTTCAGAAAAGCTTCTTTGTATGAGCAGCTGAAGCCTAGTAAACTTTCAAAGTGTGGAGCCAATGCCTCTCCATACAACCCTCTCTGCCAGCTTGCTTTGGCTGGTGGCTTGGCATTTTCCATGTCTCCCAAGTATTAAAACATTATGTAATGAAGCACAGAATTGCAATCTCTTTAGCCCTGTTAGTTTATTTCACTTCATCCTATCTTGAAATCCTGCTGATGTGAGAACAGCTGCTTGCAGTTGACTTGCAATTCTTGTCCACTCCTTGTTTCTTCAAAGCCTAGTTTGGACCTTTGCACAAGTGTTTTCCAGTCCTAATTGGCTGAACAGAACAAGTTTCAGCTTCTTATCAAACCTGAAGACTTGCTGATGCATGAAGGCTGAAACAGAGCATGCTCCCCCCCACCTTTCAAAGTGAGATGGGAAAATGTATGCATTTCTTGGCTACTGAATTCAGTGTCTGGATTCAGCTGAGTCCTACGGGGATCTATCGCTCTACAATCCTTGCCCTACATAAGACTGTGTGGTGAGCAAGGTAGAGGCCATGGCTAATGTTTCATAACTCTTGACTCTGCTGAGGCTCAGGTGTTCTGCCAGAAAGTAGGGGCCAAGCCTCTTGGGTTTCTTTATTTAAAAAAATATTTTAAATAATGTATTTGTCTTTCCTCGGTTCTTCACAGTAGCGATGCACTTACCTTTCACTTCTGACAACAATGTTCTAGCAGCAGGGTGTCTCTTCCTCAGACTGTTTTGAATGTCCTCCTATACAACGTTATGTACTATTAAAATACTGTGTGAAAAACTGCCAAGCAGATCTTGGGGCTCCTGTGCAGTTGGCTGGGGCGTTCTTCCTGGAGTTGTGCTAATCCTGTTTACTCTGGGAGGAGTACCGTAGGGGAGATGGGTGGGAACAGCAAAGGAATGATTGTGTTTAAAGTGGAAGTATGGATAATAGTGACTGCCTCCTCTTATTTATCTAAGATTTTAACTTACACGAAACCATGTATGTTTTGTTCTTGCTCTTTCAGATCCTGGGTGCTGTGATCCTGGGATTTGGAATATGGATTCTGGTCGATAAAACGAGTTTCATTGCAGTTCTACGTAAGACTGTATTTCATCTTCCTTCTTTTTCTAAATTGGCTCTGTTTCTGAATTGGCTCTATTCTGGGGCTGTGTTTGACCATGGTGTTGTCTAGGAATAGCAATACTTCTGTGAGGTCTGTACCGTAGTGTACTTTTGCTACGGTCTGTAGCCTGAGCAGTAACATGGTGTTTAGCAAGATGGGATTGTTATCAGGGACACAGTGAAAAGGAGCAGCCCTGGAGACATAGCATTCCTTAGTCTTGTTGATTGAAACACCAGGGTCAGACTGAGTGAGACTAGTGCCTCTTCAACCAACAACCCAAATATTTCGTCTTATACACAGGGGTTAGTATTTCATCGGGTTTTCATTGCGTGCTTTGTGTTTTCACAACAATTTCCTTATTACCATAGTGTGCAAAGGTCTCCAATGCCTTAATGCAGTTTTGCTGTGAGTTCTTCACTGCTTTCTTTCTGTAATGATCTATTTCAATTTAAATGTTTTAAATGCCAAAGAAAGTAAGGACCTGGTTTTATTGATGCTTCATGTACATTGAAAGGAGATGGTATGTTTGTTGCTAAGCAGTAGAGGACGCAGACTTGGTGGGGGGGGAGGGTGTGTGAAGTGCTTTGACTGCTAAAACACCCTCTTGATTATGCTTGATGAGACTTACCATGGGCATCAGAAGTGTTCTGTTTTGTGAAAGGGGCTTAGCTTTCTTTCCCTAAAGTCAGCCACAAACTTTGACTTGAGTCTTAACCGAGGGTCTGCATTCTGCAAAAACCAAAAAGTGAGCTGGGTTAGCAGGATCTGGGCTTCAGAGGATTGTAAGTGGACTTTCAGCAAATGAGTATCTCAGCTTTTCACAATCTCTGCTTCCTTTGAACTCTTTCATAGAAACACTTCAAACTTTTCTGCTTGGTGGCTCTGGTTACTTGTTTTCACTACCTTGAGAATTGCTGAGTTGGGCACCAGCCTCAGACAGTGCAGGAGGGCTGCCTGCATGTGGGGAGTGAACACTAATGGTGTTCATAAGCCCGGTTCCCAGCTACACTGATTCTGCAAAGGGCTTTATCTCCCAAGTCCTGCTGAGCACTCTGACCTGGCTGGAAAGGTGCTGGATGGAGAAGATACCCCTGCTAATACCACACATGCAGATGCTGCTCCTAACTCTGCTATTGTGCTGTGGCATCTGGCTTGCTACTGCAGTACTAGAACGTCAAGAAGCACAGCAAGGGGTGGTGGTTAATAAAGTGGGGGCATGAGCAGAAGCAGTACATGCAGCCTAAATGGAGCCTATCATGGCCTGGCTGTCTGCAGTACCCCTCACAGTCTGGGGTGAGCTTAGTACCAGTGGGTCAGCAGCTGATTCCCTCAGGTTGAAGGGTGTTACAGCCACTTGTGGAGGGAGAAGTCCCTGAACTTGGCTGTTTCTTCCCATGTACTTGGAATCTCTGCTAACAGAGCATTTAAGAATTTAGTTTCCTTCCTGGAGATTTCCAGTATCAGCTCTCTCCCCACCCCCTCACTTCCTTTCCCATGCCTTGCCCCTCTTTCCCTCTGCTTTAGTAACCTAGGCATCAGGGAGGGCACCCAGCTGCTGCCAAAGGAGCCTGTTGTACTTGCTTGGCTGCCTGCCCAGCGCAGGGAAAAACACGGAGTGACGGCAAGCAAGCCGGAGTTGGATGCTCTCAGAGCCTTCTCCTGCAAGACAAGACTATTGCAGATGAGAGCTGCGAGTGTGGCTCTTGCCCCCTGTCACTGTCAATTCTCCAAGGGGCTTTTGAGTTTGGAAGTACCTTTCTCTTCTTCTAATGGGAACTTGGCCTTGTCCCCTGACACTATCAATTCTCCACGGGGCTTTTGAGTTGGAAGTACCTTTCTCTTTTAATGGGAACTTGACGAAGCAGCTGCTTTCTAGTACTGTGGAGGTGCTGCAGCCTGGGCACTTGAACACTGACTTGCATGATAGCAGAGCTGATTTTGAGGGAAGGAACAGGGTAGATTTGTGAAGGCCACTCCTGTAAGGGTGCTGCTCCAGTAAATGCTTTGCAGTATCAGCATGTAACCTGCACAGCAAGAGTCACGGGACTGGTGAGGAAGCAGGATCCTGGGGTGTGTGGCATATGTCCAGCCAGGGAGAGCTGGCTGAGGTGACCTGTGTGGCAAGTGGATCTGCTTCACTTCTTGATAACTGAACTTTCTTCTGTTCAGCATGTTTAAGGGAAAAAAGTTTGGAAGCTGGTGGCTTGTGCCAGGTATCAGAAGCAGGGGGAAGTATATATTAGGGTGGGGAGTATCAGTTTGGGCTTGATTATTCTCCTTTAACATATTTCAGGAGGAGCTCAGAGGAAGTTTGCCTCCTGAGAGAGACTTCCTTAGTTCAGGAAACTAAATGCTGAGCTCTAAAAATGTTATTTTCATTAATCACTGGACATCCAGAATTCTCCTACACTCCGTAGCTTGCAGATATAGGTATGTCTCTTAGTGATAAATGAGGTTTCTAGTTATTGTTTCTAGACAGAGTATCTCTTCAAATTTTGTGCTGTAATGCAAGAAGTAGTTAGCTGACCAACTCAAATGTAAGAGATTTTATTCTTTGCTTGCAGTACTAAATGCTGAGGGGAGAGAGCTGACATTACCAGCATTTCTGAAATAATCTGACCTAAACGTGATTGAAAAACCTTTGAGCATTCAAAAACACAGACATTAGATACAATAGCAGGGGATATCTAGGAGGATTTGTAAAAGTAGCTAATTTGAGTGCTATATCTGTTTTGATCCTGGAATAGCATCTGTTTGCAGGGTGTTGTGCACAGGTGCTGCAACAGCCTGTGGTAAGAGCCTGGCCACAAGCCATTCAACCCAGATTTGCTAAGTAACCTGTTGCATCATCTGTGCTCAACACTAGCTGTAGCTTGTTGCATGTTTCAGTCCACAGAGTTGGTTTGTTCCAGTGTTGACTGCAAGTGGGTAAGTGAAAACGGAATGGCTACAACAAGAAATAGTACTTCAAAGTAAAAAGGCTATCTGAAAAGGGGGTTTAGGACTTGGAAGAAAGTTTTCCTGAAGATAGTAAAGGGAATTGAAGCAAATAGACAGTAGTTACAGATTAGATCATCGTTTATGTTACTGTTACTTGACGTACATTCATGAGGGAGTAAAATTCCAGTAAGGAGATAATTTTCTTCAAACAAAATTCTTCTGTTTAGAGTGACCTTGAGTCTTCCAAACTCTGGAGACCTGCAGGATGGCTTTTAAGTCTACTTTCATCTACTTTCATCATACAAAAGCATTTATCTGTCACCGTGTTTGGCACGCATCTGTGCAGTCTGTTTGGAGGAGACAAAGACAATCATCACTAGATATGGAGACGGTTCTATAAATGGTGATGGCAGACATATTATTTTGTCAGTAGCTAATGTTATTCCCACTCCTGGCTCCTACAGAGATGTCATCTCCCTCCCTGAAGACTGGTGCATACATCCTCATCGGTGTTGGGGCTCTTACCATGCTGATGGGGTTCCTGGGCTGTCTTGGAGCCGTCAATGAAATCCGATGTCTCTTGGGTCTGGTGAGAGTATTCATGTCTGTTTTAGAGCCAACATTTAATACATCTCCTGCAAAATATCTGTTGGATTGTAGATGGGGTTTCGGTCTCCTGGGGATGTTATTTCTGCTAGGTCCACTTAGATCTAGTTCTTAATTTGCACACATTAAATTCTCCAGCTGTCAGCAGACTGAAGCAGAGCTTCTTAGGCATTACTGACAATGAGCTCAGAAGTGTGAAAGAGAGAGGCTGTCACTGACACTTTCTGCACACAGTGGGTTGAGGACTACCAGTTGAGAAGTGTACCGTGTCCCCTTCACCCTGACTTCTCAGTTGGTACTGTGCTCTCAGTGGTGGAAGAGCAAGTTCCAAGGGCTGTGAAAGAAAAGAGGAAGAGTGACAGTGTCCTGTTACGTCACATCTGTGGAAAGTGCAAGAGTCGGGAGACCCAACTAGGAATGTCCTGTATGTCAGGACCTCTCTTTAAGCAGTTCATCTATAGGAAGCTTTCTATCCGTGATAGATGAGAGAATAACAGCTTCATACACCTCAGCCTGCTACATGACTCTATCTTATTCAGAGCACATTGTATTGGAAACAAAGTGTGGCACACACTGTGTGTCCTGGTATTAGCAGCAGCTCCTTGTCTAGTAATAGTAGCTGCCACCATTTAAAGGCAACCTCAGCAGTTTGCTGGTAAATCTTAAATTTAGGTCCTCAAACAAATTAAATACCATGTTTTTAAAGGGTAATTTATTTTTTTTTTTTAATACATTAAAAATTAGGTTTGTAAAATTGACTCTTTGTTTTCTGTTTTGAGGTAGGCAGAGTTCAGCTGATTGATTGAGGCCAGAATGGTCTGTGAATGGAGTTGGATGTGGGAGAGAGTCCCAGTTGAGATGACACAAGCAGAGAGTGCATGTAAACCCTTTCCTTCCTGAAGGCTTTCTGTTGGCCTAATGGGAGAAGTGCTGAAGTGCACTGGTCTGGCATTGGTCCCAGCCTCTTCCTGGGAAAGCATTGCTGGTAGCAGAGTTTGTCTGCAGGCAAAAAGGTGTTAGCTCATGTTGTGATTTCTCTTGTATATGAAATTTTATTAATTTTTATATACAGACCTTTCCAAAGACTTGACAGTGATCACCTATTGTTTTTTGTTTCCAGTACTTCACCTGCCTGATGATAATCCTCTTAGCTCAGATTGCTGCTGCACTGGTCATCTACTTCCAGAAAGAAAAGGTAAGTCTTTGTTACTGTGCGTCTTTTCCTTGGTCTTGGCTTGGGAGAAGGGTGATACCTAGAAATTATTTCTTCCAAATTGGCCTATCCTGCTAGCAGGCATAACAGGATTCTCCTTTCCTCTACCCCAGCTCAATAGTTTTGCTGTTTGATTTTTCTATATCTGCTTCAATAGTGCTGCTTTCTCAAGAATTATGAAGCTTTATTTGGTATTCAGGCTTTATTTTTGGGTAGTGGGAACAGTAAAAAAAAAAAAAAAAAGTCCTAAAATGCTTTAGACCACACCTTTTCTTGATCCTGCTGTAGACAGCTATTTGATCATCTAGTAGCAGTGGTTACTACCATGTTGCCATCCCTGGTGCCTTGAGGAGTTACCAACCTTTTAGACTAGTCTTCCTCCTTGTGCCATCTTGTTCTGTCCTTTCAAGTCTTTCTGCATCTGAGAATAGAACTCTTCTTGGAAGAGCTGTCCTCTTTCCCCAGGAGCAAACCCACATATCTGATGATTACTATTCTACAGCTGGAGTTTAAAGCCAAGTGGTTTAATGTTTTGAAGTGGATCCCTTTGTCAGGAAGGCAGTTTCCCAGTGGGTTTTCTAGAGCTCCAATATGCTTCGTAGTGTAAAAGGGAGCTACCTGTTTTTGAGCTGCCTAAGTGCAATGCAACAATCCATCCTGAATATAGGTTCCCTGGCCAAGGAAATGCCTGATCCGGCCTTCAGCTACTTGAGAGCTAAAATGGGAGCCACATTTATGCAGTGGAAACAAGTTATAGCTGTGGGGTCACTATTGGCTTCTGGTACAAGTTGTGGGTAACTTGTATGGCTGTGCTTGCCTCTCCTAAGCCAGCTCTTTAGCTAGGTGGTTACAGAAAGCAGAGCAGTTGAGGAAGTTATGGATGGGGCCTGGTGGAGAAGTTTGGGGCAGGGGGAAGGTGCCTGCCACCAGCATAACAGATGTAAGCTTTGTACTGTGGTGACTGAGCAGCTGTTGTCTGGGTTCCTTGCCAAATGTGGTGTGACTGTAGCTTGCTCTCTGCGCTGGCAGAAGCTGAAGGAGAAACTAAAACAGTGACTAAAACTGGTGTGTAAAGATAATTCTCAACAAACAGCTCTGACTAATGCAGATATGGAGGTGTGGGGATGGGCATTCCCCTGCAATGGGGAAATGTGACTTCACACCAGGAAATTCTGTACCTCTGTTAGCATTTCTCCTCCAGCTGCCAATCTGCTCTAGAAAACTCCGGCTTTTAAGCTGTAGCTCTTCATTTAAACCTCATCAGACCAGGAAGAGTTTAAAAGTGCTGGGGGTTGTTTTGCAGAGCTGTTGGAGCTGGCATGACTGAGATCATCACTTTTAGAGATCTGGGAGAATGGTCAGGGAAGCTGGGCTTTGAACACATGCTCCTCTTCAGTCCCTAATGAACAAAATTAATGGAAAAGCTCTTCTAGAGCCATTCTCTTTTCAGGGATCCTCCAAAGTACCTGCCTAGAGCACTAAGAAAAACTGTTTGAGGAAGGTCTTGGCTGAAACCTCCAGCGCAGTGGTTTGGGGCTGCGCTTCAGTGCTACTGTGCAAGTCGCTCTGCTTCGCTGGTTGTTCGTCATCCCAGGGCAGCTGGGAGCGCAGTGAGGCACACTGAAACTGCTCAACAGCCAGTCCCCAGATATCTATTGTGTTCTTTGTGTTTATTTCTTTCTGACTTCAGGAACTTGGTTAGATATAAAACAGGGAACAACAAGAGAGAGGGAAAAGATTTTGGATCCAGAATGTAGCAAGGTGATACTCACTCTTTCACCTGTAACTGAAGTATTTATTTCTTTGGATTCACTTGAAGTTATTGTTGGCATGTCTGTTCCATTTTGGTGTCAAAATCCTCCCCCACACTGACAAATGAAAGTATACTGAAACAGAGTTAGTGTGACTGTAAAAGGCTGAACCTCTGACAGGAAGGCTGCTGCTTTGCCTCTCCCATGGGCATTGTTAGAGGAATGCCCCTTCAGACTGGAATTGCCCAGTACTTCTGGGAGGATGCTGATGCAAGATTTGTTTCCCTTCATTTGTTGGTGACTGAAACTGTGGGGTGGGTTTTTTTTTATGGACAGCAACGTAGTGACATCACAAATGCTGCAAATTATGTTCTGCTTTGTGAACTGAATGTTGCTACTTACCTACATGTAGTGGATCACAAGCCCCCAAACGTGTGAGAGCCTGGGCAAGTTCTCTCTTGGCCTAGTTCACACAATTCTGTGCAGCTTAGCTCTAAGTGCCTTGAGTAAAGAAGAATGGGGGTGTTTTGGGAATAGCCCTTCTTGCTAGCTATTGTTTGCAGCAAACAGGCCTGTGTGATTGCATGCAGCGACTTGTCTGGGGCTATGGACTATGCATGAGTTTCAGAATCTGAAGTGACAAGGCAGAGGAGAGCTCCCTCCTGTTTTTTGAGCCTTCTTTTGTGTGCAGGCTAGATGCTAATAAGTGCTGAGGGAAGGATCTAGCTTGCATCTGACAGGGACAAGATAGATGACTGACAGTGTCTGATAGGGGAAGAAGCCTGCACAATCCATTATGTGATCAAAGACCTGGTCTTGCCTCTGGCATTCAGCTTTCCCCATCTCCCTCTTCAGTAGCCCATGTGGTGGGAGACTGATAGCCTTGCCGCTTTCTGGCAGTGAGCTGTGGCTTTGGTGCCTAGCATCTAAGTGCCCCTGCTTTTGAGGTGGTGGGATTGTGCCTTCTGACACTGGGCTTGCTAGTGCTGGGAAGGCGCAAGAAGCCCTGAAAGCAAGGGTAGCCATTTCCTGAAGCATTCATGTCTCACACAGTGCTAAGTCCTGATAGCTTTAAATGGGTGGAGATGGTTAGGACGTGTAAAGCCTGCATGTTCCATGTGCCTTTCTGGCTTGTTGCTCTTTAGGTTTTCCTCTGCCAGGTGCTTAAGGGTGAACAGCTGCAGATGCCTGTGTTTTCTTTTGGCCTTCTCTATGGGTTAAACCCACAAGCAAGCTGCTTGTGTGGCTCCAGAACTGTGCCATTGTTTGCATAATATTCCCCCTCTCTCAGATTGGGAATGCCTGATTTTTTTTTTCTTTAATTTGAAATGCCTCACTTTTTGAAACAAGAGCTGTTTGCAGGACTTCTTTCCTGTTCTTTTGTAAGACTAAAAGCAGACATACAGCTTCCCTATGTAGCTGTGGTTGGGGACATCAAGTTCAAGTCCTGTCTGCTTGTGGTGGGGTCCTGGGATTCTTGCAGAAGTGGCACTAGGCTCCATCTGACCCAATAAATAAGGGGCTGGATGGGCCCAGGGCAGGAAAACAAACCCAGCTCTCCTGGCCTCCCTCTGCATGTGGAGCAGCAGTGTGCAGGAGGGGTCAGGGTGGGAACTCAGAGGTTCAGTAACTGATAAGGCTTATGGCAGCAGCCAAGGCAAATCTCATTAGTGAGAACCAGGTCAGGTTGCCTTGATTTGAAGGGAAGGAAAAGGGGAAGTGAAGTAATTAAAAGGGGAAGAGATAGACATCATGAGAAGAAAGATCATGCAGCTGCCATCCATCTGGCCTGACATAGCTGATCCCAGTGAACTGAGCTGCAGTTTTCCTAGGAAGAAGAGTTGCTGATGTAGAGAAGCTTCTCTCAACAGTAGGCAGTGCTTCCTCTTGCTGAGTGTCCTGGTATTTGCCATGGTCATTGAAAATGCTTGATAGTAGAAGAAAAGAGAAAACCCATTTCCACTGATTTGAAATATGCTGTAGCACCACAGTCAAAAACATAATATGTGGGATGGTAACATCCTGGTGCTTAGGCTGATGTAGCTTTGTCCTATCCCTCGGGCAGTCTAATGGCACTTTTCTCCAATCTCTTGTGCATCTGGGTCTGTCCTTAGCAGTCCTCATGTACAGACTGGTTAAGAAGAGCTTTGGAAGGAGGTGGGAGGACGAAGGTGAAGGAGTCTGCCAGGTGGTAGCTTGCCCCCTCATCAAACTGAAAGGTGTTGTAAATATCTCTGGAAGAGGAAATTATTTGATATACCTGAACTTTGTGATAAGACTGTTAATGAGCAGTTTAGGTAGTTGTAACACTTCCTGTCTTAATATAGAAAGAGCACTTGTGGGAGTTTGGGGAGAGGTAGATTGACACCTTGTGAAAAAGGCAAGTTTTCATCAGCTGTGTATCAGAAAACCCATCTGCATTCATGAGCAGAGTGGCTTACACCTTCCCTGAGCAGTGGCAGAGATCCTGGATCAGGGTCTCGCCTGCAGAGAATGAATGTTAGAAGTTAGAAACACAACCTGTGAGTCCTTCAGGCAGTGTTGTCCTTCAGCTTGCACTTACCTTGCACATCTGTCTTGTCTGGAGCAGGCAGTTAGTTGTTCAGCCTGTGTCTTAGCAGGATGACCATACCTGATCTGGTTCCTTACTGCTCATCTGGTTTGTAGCTTTCCCCTACAAACCGGGGCGAGGACTTGCTGGTGCTTTGGCTGTTGCAGCAGCAACAGCCTTACCTGTACTTGTTAACTATTTGCAGTCAGCTTTTATGAGCGACTGTAGCTTTATATATGTATCTGAAACACCCAAGAAAAGCCTACAAGAATTGATAATCTAACTCTCCTGCCTCTTTTTTTCTCGCCAGTTGAAAGTTGAGTTGTCCGACATAGTTGTAGATCTGATTGAGAATTACGATCCTTCGGATGAAGAGAAGAGGAACTTGCAGGATGCGTGGGACTATGTGCAGACACAGGTGAGTCCTGGGGGACAACAAGGGGTAAATGATGCTATTTGTCGGTGCAGGCTGACTTTTAAAGCTAGGCTGAGGACAGAGAAACAACTATTGCACATTGTTCTGGCTGATCTACAAACCTCAAAGTGGCCTGTGAGGTTTGGTGCCTGCAGACTTGAAAATGGGCTTTCTTGCTCTTCTGTGTCAGATGCTGAACTATTCCTGCATGCTGGGTGTTAGAACTAGCTAGTGTTGGCTGTGTGGCCTAATGTATCCAGCCTATTAAATGGCACTCCAACACTTCTCTTTGTCTGTTTGGCCTCCTGAATATTAATATAACATTTTGCGCATGATTTTTGTAGCAATAAGTCCCTAGTTCACTGCCAGGCAAGTCAGCAGTACCACCTGCCTAACTACTTGGTACATGTTGCTTGCTTATTGTGATGGTTCTTCTGCAAGTATCAGCGTTCTTGGGAGCCGTCCAACTGCCCCTGGTTTCTGTTTTAGCATCAGGGTCAGCACTTGAACAGATAGAGGGTATTCAAGCACACTGGAGTCCTGACAGCTGTTTACTGCCAAACCACAAGCTTGAGAGCTGGCTGGCTGTTGTAGTTAAATACACAGCCAGCATGGGACTGATTTGTAGTAAGTACAAGTAACAGCATTTGTCTTCTATCTCTTCTTTGGTCTGCAAAACACTGACCTGCAGTATTTTTCCTCCTTGGAGAATGATTTATATATATTTTTTCACTGTAGTTGCAACTGCTTGGTAGTGAACTCAAGAGAAGCCTGATTCTACTGTAGACAGAAGCTACTGCTTGAAGACCTTCTTTTGTGTAGGAGCAGAAGAAAAAGGCTTTGCAGAGATGGAGAAGTCGAGTGTTAAGAGTCTACTTTGTCTCACACACTGGAGTTAGCATTTGAAAGAGGGTGGGGTTCTGTAACCTGTCTCTGGAGTTAAAGTCCAAACCTCTTGTGGGGGAGGTGTAGTTCCTTCTGGATGCTGTGTCTTCACAGCGCTCTTTTGGAAACCAAATGCTTGTCCTGATGTGGATGTTCAGCTGTTTGTATCTTATGTTTATTATAGCAGAAACATTATTTTTCCTTTCCTAGCAGAGAAGGATTTTTCCTAAACTTCTACCTTGACATAGAAAGCCTTTCTGCTCTGTATCACTGCGCGAGCACTGGGATCCATGCTTAGGATCTTACTCCTTGGTAGACTTCCCGATGTGCTTTTCCTTTCAGCAAATACGGTTTTATCACGTGGCTCTATAGGAATGTAAATGTTTCTTCGGATGGAAAATGTTCCCTATCCCATGTTCCAGCTGGTCCGTACTGCACCCAGGTGGACGCTGGTGCGCAGTGGTGTGCTGGGGCTTGGCGGCTTGGGGACGCCACCGTGTGGTGCCTGCTGCTGTCCCGGGGCCCTTGAGCTCTTGTTCTGCTAGCAAAGTGGCTCTTTCGTAGGGAACAATGTCCCTGTGTTCTGGACAGCTCTATACATAAATAACCAGGGTGGTGTTTAGTGCAGCTAATCCATGCAAACTGTATGGCCTGGCTGTTGTTGCATGGAGAGCTCCTGAGCACTTCTACCTGCTTACATTCATGTGTTATCTTGCCAGTGCAAAGTGTAAGGCTGTAATAATCTCTCTCCCGTTATTAATTAGATTGCCTGCTGTGGCTGGACTGGAGCGAAGCAATGGGAAAATAATGAGATTCTTAGAAACAAGAGCAATACTGAGTATCCATGCTCCTGCTCCAATAGATCTAAGGACTTAGTGGAAGGAAGAGGTTTCTGTAATCTGGAAGACCCTCTCAATGGCACTGCAACATCTGCTGACTGGCCTGTTCATGAGCAGGTGAGTGGGTATGTCTGGGCCCTGTGAAGCTTCCACTGAGGCTGCCTTGTCTTTGTTCCCTTGAAAATTTAGAATGCTTCTTTCACATCCTTATTGCTTGAAGTACCTGTGAAATTTGGGGCAAGGGGGGACAGGGTGGCAGGGATCCTGCCCTTCTCTGCAAAAGTTTCCATTAAGCATGGTATAGCATTTAACTGGGATAATTCCTTCATGCAAAAATATGTTATGGATTTTCAGTTTTTAGGTATTTAGATCCATGCTTCTTTTCTTTGTGGCCATGTTTTCTCTGTAGGGATGCATGGATGGTGTAGAGGAGTGGCTGAAGGATAACCTTGGTATCATTCTTGGGGTTTGCACTGGTGTTGCTGTTATAGAGGTAAGTAATTTCCTGACATGAACCTATTATGTCTTATCATGGAGTCTTTTTAAAAGACAAAGCTGTTTTCTCAAGTAATAGACACCTGGTTTAATGGTAGTGCAGTTCTAACTCTTGGTTGTGTCTGCCTGAACTGTGGCTTTTGTTGATTGGATTAAAAATCAAACAAAGCCTTGTCTACTTGTGATTCTGTCTGCTGTATCTGACTTCTGGCAATTCTGTAACCAGAATACTGAGGCAAGCAAAAATCCCACTGTAGTGAAATCCCATTTGTTGCTTTAAAAAGCCCATAACATAGTTTCCAGATGAAGTCACATCTTTATGAAGCCCAGTTTTTTGTCACTTCAGTTATTGCATTTGCCTTGTATTGCAGACTAACTCTTTTCACCTGTATGGTGTCATTGAAAGATGTTCACTGTAGTCTGCTATCCTGTATCACCCGTTCTTCACACTTTATCTGTCTGGTTGCTGATTTTGTCCCATTCTTCATACTTATTCCAGCTGCTGGGGATGATACTGTCCATTTCGCTTTGCAAGAACATACACAGTGAAGACTACACCAAAGTGCCCAAGTCTTGAGTGGCTGACTCCAGAGCTACGGCACCACAGAGAAAGGAGCAAACAGAACATTCCTGCCTCATACCCAGACTGTCCAACCATTGACCATTCCTGTGACATCCCATTTCTGATACCACTCTGCTAAGAACTGTTAGAGCTGCAACACAGCCTGATCTGGCAATAGGGCCTTTGGGCCACCTGCATCCTGCCTCTGGATTATTTCTACTTCAAGAAGCAGAACTTAAGCTGTCTCATGCCACATGAGACAGTGATTAACCTGAGGGGACAATGCTTTTGCTGCCTGCTCCATGTTAAACAATACTATTCGTATTTTCATTCTACAACCCACTGGACCTAAGATACAATAGCTTTTCTCTCCCTTGCTCTTCTGCACATCTTTTCACCTCCCTTCTGAAGTCCCATGAGCCAGGAATTCTGTTGAGATTCCAGTGCTTTGGTAGCTTCACTTGCTTCACTGACTTGTGGTGGTAACTAGTCATGCTCTAATAGGCCTTCTCATCCCTTGCAGTTAACCTGATTCAGCTCCTACTATACATCTTCCAGCCTAGGTTCTCATCTGAAGCACAGAGTGCTGCTGTCACACCTGCTTCTCCTGTTTCTGGAGTCAGCTATGCCTTGCCTTCAGTGGAGCTCTTCCCTTTGAGCGTGATGAGAAGCCAAGGAGGGAGCCAAGCCTACTTATTTATTCCTAGTGTGACCTGGCAGGTTGTGGTGGTGGTGCTCAGCTGCTTCTGGAATGGATCCCTTGGGTTTTGGATTTGACAGTTACATGTTTCTCCCATTTGCCTCTTTATCTTTTCCTCTCCCCCTAACTCTGCTTTGCTGGCTCCTGTCAGCTTGGAGGTTACTTCAGAGACTGCTGCATACTGTGGACTCAGCCCCAGGCTGGCTCTGCTGTTTGCATTCTTGGGTTGCCAACTTTATAGAGATTACAATTAATTTGTTTCTTCCCCTGCTCCTTCATGAACATAAAATTTATTAGCTGTGGATTTAGATATGAACATGGAAGGATCTGAATGGATTGCTGATGCTGTGAATTGGGAGTATCACTGGTATCAGTGCCCAGTATAGGTTCTGTAGCTGGGATACAAAGATAAGTTGCTTTTATTTCAGTTGTCCATTCATCTGACTCCACTGTGGTCTGGAGCCATGGCTGCATCCTGAGTCCTGCCTCAAGTGCTGGCACTGCAGCAGATAAGTAGCAGGTTGTGCAGGCTGCAGGTTTATGTGCTAATGGCTGGGCTGTTTGTTCTATTGAGCCAGTGGTCAGCAGCAAGGAGTGGTGTAGACCAGATGAAGGTAGAAAATGCAGAAGAAGCATTGTCCCAACAGCTTACATAAGAAAGGGTGCAAATCCTCACTTTTAGAGGTGTCTTGGGCACAGCAGATTTCCTGCTGTTACACATGGTGCAATGACCAGGACACCAGGAAGCTGGATGCAAGATAAGTGGATGGTCCTTGCCAGGGACCTGTTACAAGGTACTTGGTGATTGAGCCTTTGCCTTACAGAGGTGGTTCCAGGACTGTCTCCTGTAATAACCCTACTTGGTAAAACCTACTTGGCATTCCTTCTGGGAAGAAAGGCTGGTGCAGGGGATCAGCGCCCCAACAGTGGGTCCCTGCTCTCTGTCCTCATCTTTGGACAGAGCAATGACTGGGGAGAATGACTGGGCAACTGTTTTTTATGGAGGTCTGATAAGGCTTTGCAATTTTGAGGTATCTGCCCCTTCCTGCACAGATCCTTCAAGCTGACCTTTTCTATAGCAGAAGGCACTCTTAGCAGTAAAGCTTGCTAGCTTTTGTAACACAAAGTCTATTCTCTAATGTGTTCTTATTTGTAAGATTCTTGTTCAGTTACAGATGCCAATGCTGAGCAGCAAGTAAAAAGGAGCCCATTCTGGATTTCCTTTTTTGTTTTTGTCTGTTTTTAGCAACATCTTCCTACTGGAAGAAATGCATGTACAGATATAAAAGTCTAGACAATGAATATTTCTGTAATAAAGACTTTGCTAAAAAATACATATCTCTGCCTATGACTTGTGTATTGAAGTGTTTTCCCCTTGCTTCCTCTCCACCCCATTATGCTTTACATGCAGATCACTGACATCTTGCTGGTTCAAAGTATCAAAAGGTCTGATGTGCCTGTGTGAGATCAGTGTGGACTGTAAAGATCCTGCCCAGTGGGGGGAGGTGACAATTTTCCTGGGCTGTATCCTAAAGTAAACTTTATCTTGTTTTATGAAGTACGTTTGTCTTAGGCTTAGCTGACTGAGTGATAGTTCCTTGAATTACCTGCTATGTCCTAAGCTAAATATTTGAAGGTGTTGCTTCAGATCTGCACAGTCTGCACAGTTTGAAGTCATTAGCCTTGGGGACTAATTCTGATGAAATACAAGCTTGCTGCTGTGCCCACAGTGCATACAGCTCTTGCAAGCTTAACTATATTATTTTTTTCCTACTCATTTTCAGTAGGATTCCTCAGCCCCTGCCCTGCCACTGTGAGAAGGAAGAAATCTACGTGGCCATTTTTGTTTGTCACCACATGCTGGCCTTGACTGAAAAGCTCTTCAGAAGTAGATAAACCAACTATATAAATCTTCTTGCATTTCTCAGCTAGGAGAAAGTGGATATGAGCTAGATCTCAAAAGTGCTTCAGATCCTGCACCATATTGATGCATCTGGACATTTGAAATGGCTTAGAAGAAACTAAGGTAGTGTGCTAATGAATTTTACAGCTGTTGCTTTAGGAAGTAATAAGCATGACCCAAGTCCTTGTACATGTTTGAAGAAACAGTGAAGTTTGCCGAGAAGGTACTGGAGTGCTTCCAGCAAACACTGGTGGCAACTGGTCTAAGTCAAGATTTCAGGAGCCCTGACCAGGTGAGTGCAGAGCAAGGGGGGCTTAAATGGATCCTGAAGCCACAGTAGGGTGCAATGATCTGTCCTACCTGTTAGTACAGCTTGTTCCTTTGGGCTGTCTTGGGCTGTGCTTGAACTTGGTTCTTGGTCATATGGAGTCTCCCCTGGCAGTGCTTTCCCAGGGCTCCACGATTTAGAGGGCCACGCTTCCTGGCAAAATTGCCAACCCTGACCAGATGGTTCCTAGGTGGGGAAGGGTGCTGCTGGTTTCCATTCAGCCTGTTGTGAAGCTGGAAGGAGAAAGCAGGGGACTCGAGGACAATTGCTTGTCCCCAGCTGCCCGAGCTCTTTGGAAACCACTTGCCTTTGGCCACTGGAGGGTGGTGTTCCACCAAGAAAATCCAGCCCGGGCTGGTCCCAGGGGAATGAGATGATACTGATCGCTTCCTTCTGCTCCCAGTTACTCCTGGCAGCAGGGTAGCTAAATTAACTTGTATTTACAGATGTATTCTGCTGTTCCTTGGGCCAGGCTCCCAGCTCCTCTCCAGAGGTGAAGGTTTGCTGCTGGAACTAGAAATCAGCCTAGCACTGAGACTTCTTGGGAGCTGCAGTGTTTGTCTAGCAAAGCCCACAGCACCAGCCTCTGCAGAAGCTCAGCACATGGAAGCATTTTGTGCACAGCCAATAAGCTGCTCTGTAGCTGTCCCAGGCCAATAATTAATATTGCAAGAGCAGAGTTGTGACCACCCTGTGGCCTGAAGCAAGGCCCCTAGTAATGTAATGAACTAGTGATCTTTGTTGTTCTGTGTGATCATGAAGCACTCATGAGCTGCTATAATTCTTTCCATGAGGTGTTTTTATTTTTTTTTCTGGAGTGGGAAGAGGAATTGCATTAGTTAGACTGGCTAAGGGTAAATGTGTAGGTCGCAATGCATCTTGTTTTCTGTATGGAACATACTCAAATTTAACATGTAGCAGCTGTTCTTTTCCTTATTATTCTCCCATGTGTGGTGGTGTGGCTGGTCCCTGCCAGCTTTGTTCAGGATTTAGGCTTAATGTGGTAGACTTCAGAAAAGATTGGTTTCTGGCTGCCAGAGGAGAGACTGCAAGTGGTGGTGTCAGACTCTGTGACATTGTTGAGGAAAGTGAGGAACGGGCAGCCACAGGGGCTCACTGCTGAAAAGCCAAAGGACCCTGGAATTCCCACAAATGCTACCATTCAATGCCATAAATGGAGAACATACCCTCAATTATTCATGGGCTGGCTCTACCCCATTAGCCTCTGAGACCCTGCTCTAGCCTTGGCATTTTATCACATATAAACCTCAGTTAGCAGACTGGATTTCTGAATGACATCTTAAACCAGGTTGATACTAAAAGCTTGTCAGTGTAAAAATCTACTAGCATGGAAGGCTTAAAACACTTGTAAACTGGCAAAAGGCCCTCAGCAAAAAAATACTCAATTAGCTAACCAAAGCTATTAGTAAAACATTACTAGTAAAGCTACTAAGTGTGCTTTAGCCATTATAAACAATTTCTAGCAGGTGTGTGCTGGCAGAGTTCATGCAATTTTTTTGCCTTGTGGTAGGAATTTTCTCTGCCAACCATGGGAAATTACCTTCTCCTAAGTAAATTCTGTAACCCTGGCCATGAATTCTTTCTTCTCGCAGGTATAAATCGTCTGGTTTCTCTCCTCCAAGCTCCTAATAATACAATTGACTGGGGTTTGTGTGCTGTTTGGCTTTTGTGGGGAGAGATGAGGGGAATATTGGATGCTGTGTACCAGGAGAAAAATGACTCTCAGCTCTCTTGGCAAAAACATTACTTCTATTTAAAATAGGGGCTTAAGAGAAGGATAATACTCTAAGCAGTACATAAATGCTCTATGAGGTGTGGAATCTGAGAGGGAAAATCCTGCTTTAGGCCCCAAGGATGGCATTTTCATACACTTCAATCAAATGTCTCTCTGGTATCTTCTTTCCTAAAACTCTCTCACTGACTAATGGCATCATGGAGTAATTCCTCTGTCCTCAACAATGCAGAGTTTAGCAGAAAAGTATGGAAACCTACTTCTGTAACTACAAAAGGAAACAAGAGAGCACTTTCCTTCCCACCTATAGGGTCCAGATGCTACTAATTCCCATTCCTTCACAATGTTTCTTTGAACAATGGCAGCAGCTCAGGGGTTATCCTGATACTGCTCTTTGTTCTGTGAGTGTTCACCAGGTTAGGAACTATATTGACATCAGACCTAGGCCTCCTACAGGACCCCAGATCCTCACTATGTCACCAGAATGCCAGACCTTTTCCATCAGGTGTCTCTGGCCAGCATTACCTACTGTTGATAAGCTTAAATCCTTCTCCATGTTGTCTTTTCTTGTTCAAACAATTTTTCTGGAGGTTGTCAGTCTGCAGTTCTTCTGGAATCTGTCTGCCACCCTCAGGTAACCAGCTCCAAAGCAACAGCTGTGACAGTGCAGGAGATCAGAGCATTGTGCACCAGACTAACTTTTTCCTTCTTTTTGCCCTCCTTAGAGTTACAGACTGGACATATGGAAGTTCTTCAGAGACAGCAAGAATCCCAGAGCATGTGATCATCTGAATGGCTTACCCAGAGTGTTTCCTGGGTATTTTCTGCATAGCACTTCTGGAAACTATTTGGGGTTTACTAGGGTGGAAATGTGAGGTCCTGTCATGGCATGTGCTTTGTGCACTGAACTTGCAAAATTATGTCAGAATAGTATAACTCATGCAGTGATGTCTGCAGACAGCCTGGAACAATAACCCAGCACAGTGCAGACCTTTAATTTTGGCAGAGTTTTCTTCACAATACTCTCAATTATTCAAAAAGAAGTTGTTCTTTTAATATGATGTTGTAATTAACTCTGGTAAGCACTGATTGGGATTTTTTTTTGGCAAAACCATTTTTCCCTAGAGGATGTAAGTTCCTATAAAACAAAGTGTGGTTTTGGTTTTTTTTTTTTTTTTTTTTTTTCCTTCTGCATAAACAGACTGAAAATAGTTTAATAACTTCTGATTGAGGGATTTCTTCTGCTTTCTCAGTGGTTACATCATAGTAAAAATTATGTAAAAGACTTGGGATTGAATAAAATAGGGTTATAAAGCTATATTCTAAACTTGTGACCTAAACCCAGGATGTATTGGTCTTCTGAGGTGGGATAGACTGAGGAATGTTTGCCAACCCTTCCAGTGAAGAATTTTTTCTAGTATTCAATCTAATCCCCCTTCTTCCCCACAACCCGGTGCTATTTGAGGCTGTTTCCTCTCATTCTACCACTTTTTACTTGGGCAAAGACCCTGACACCTGAGCACTTTGTATTTTGGAGAGGCTTCTCTAGACCTCTGTGGGCAATTCTTCAGAGCTGCAGAACAAAGTAAGGCAGAGCAGAAGTGAGGTGGGCTGCGTGTGGTGTGTGAGGGAAGCTGCCTGGAGAAATCAGTGGATGCCTTTCCTCAAGACCAGTCCCAGTCACCTGGGAACAGAGTTTTGCACAGGAATTGACTTCAGCGCCTGCGTGGCAGCAGGTGTGTCACTGGTGTCACGCTGGTGCTTGGTGGGAGCTAATGTCTCCTTGTGTGCTGTGAGGCTGGGGGGAGATGGTGGAGAAACGGAAATGATGCAGCCACTGCTACTGTTGTGTGTGGTTTGGTGGGTGTTTTTGAAGGGGTTCTTTTTTGGTCTTGTTTGTTTTTTACGTGGAAATGCACGAGTACCAGGTCTGTATGAACCTGTAGAATGAGGTGGTGTGGAAGGTGGGCTGGGGCAGTGTGGGAGCCTCTGGAAGGTGAGGTGTACTCATAGGAAGGAGCTGCCTAAAGAGGAGGCCTTGGCACATGGGAGGGAGGTGTCTGGGACAGAGGGTGGTGGTGTGGGGTTCAGCCTGACAAGACAATGACAGGAATGGGCCCCCACAGAGCAGTGTCCTGCCCTGAGGAGCCAGCTAGCATGGCCAGGGAGGTTGGTTTGCTGAGCAAATGCCAAGCTGTGGTCTGGCCATGAAAGGTAGCAGGATGAGTTGCAAGCAGCCATGGCGGGGATGTAGGAAGATAATTTCTCTGAAAGAGTTGTTCTCAGGATACAGGGACTTACAAGACAGGTCAGCTGTATTTTACCTGCTGTCAGGTGTCAAAACCACTTG